TTATTATATATATTATATATATATATAAGTATATATATATATATATACATATATATATATATATATTATACATTTATATATATTATTATATACATTATAAATATATATATATATATATATATATATACTCTTGTCTCTATCTTTGTATACGTAATACGTCTTGAAACAATCAGGTGCGTATTTTAGTATTCATCCAGAGCTTCCCTTATTCACCTGCACCCACAGTGACTGGTTTCGCCCACGGCACCTCCCTGACGCCATTTATCGCCGCCAACTTCCTGGTCGACCAGCTTAAGCTACCGCTGGTAGCCACTCTCTCGGCACCAGAACTACCCGCACGCGCTATTGTCGAACGGGGTCAACCAGCACCTGGGATCCGCATTCACGGTAATGCTAATGGAGTGTGTGTGGCGCTGTGTGAGTTCAAGATCCCCTCGAACCCTATCATCAACGGTGTTATCGAGGCGGTTGTGGACTTCAGTGCCAGACACAACATCAAGTGTATTCTATCGGCCGAGGGTGTGCCCCGGGCACCGGTTGCTGAGGTTAGTTCGGAAAGTGCAAGAGATAAGACCGAAGAGGAAGCCATCCAGGAGAAGGAGGCCAGAGAGGATGCGGAAAAGGTGCTGTTCTTGACCACGTGCGAAGACATCGCTGACACGCTACTGCTCGCCAACGATAAGCCAACACCCATCACAGCACCTGAGAGCCAGGACAAAAAGTCGGAGTCTGAACCTCTGCTCGGGAAGGAAAGCAACGAACAGACTACAGCAAGTGTAGGCGTCGATAAGATCGTTTACAAGCCGCTGGACGATGCGGTGATCAACGGTATCACGGGGGGACTGATTGCCGAGGCGAGCCTGACTGGGCTTGAGGTGTGCTGTATCTTGGTACCGGCATCTGCTGTCATGCCGTTGGATGTCAGTGCGGCGGCTAAGGTGGTTGAAACAGTGCGCACACTCGTGCCTGGATTGGAGCTCGACATGACGCCACTGCAAAGTAAGGCTAAGCAGTTGAAGCTTACAGAGAGAGACATTGAGGCTATGAAGGAGGAGGCCGAAGCCCAGCCGGCTGGCTATGGCAATATGTACATGTAGATTGCTGGCCATAAGGTCTGGAGGTGCACACGAGTAGATGTAGATATGTGTTTGTAGTGTTGGCTACTTGCCATGCGCCGCAGTGCGGAAAACATTCTATTGAAATAAATTGATACTGCATTCATATGGTGACTGTTCTCATGCGCAGGTGCTCATCTGTTCAGCCAGTCCTCAATGGCTGTCTGAGGCGTATACCACTAGTCGTGTCAGTTGGTTCGTGAAACGATACCCATAAATAGCCAAACTGTCATAATATCAAATTGTATTAGGCGTACCGTTGCGTGATGGGCAAGGATTGAGTCTCTCGTGAATAGCCCAGTCTATTAGTACTTTATTTGATTTCTGCGCCAACTAACCTCTCGGCCGCTCTCGTCAAAGTATCGGCGTGCTGTATTGCGCGGGTGCAAAATACACAGAGGCGCGACAACATAACTTGTCTGCCTGGTAGGCCTTAACATTCATATGTAGCACACTATCCACTCCGGCCCTTGTGCCTTGTGCTGGCGCGCACCACTCCACACAGGGCATTCCCGCCTCCGTAGCCTCGAATGGGCGAAGCTCGGATTTCGGCAACCGTCGCACATGGCTCACGCGTAAATCCAGAATGGAGGAGAACTCAACATAGCGCATGAAGTTGATATCGCCAGCAATCATCTCGAGATCGGCGGGTGTGTGTGCAAGGGCTGTGTTGGATGGGTAATTCACCCTCGCGGCTACAAGGTGTGCCGTCTGCAGCAAGATTAACTTTAGTAGCATTGCGTTCACGTGGTCGCCCGAACCGGTAGCGTACCGGTGAGATGTCAAGCCCCGGTCCAGAGAGGTTAAGCTCAGCACTTGCATTACACGACCCGCATCACCGGTAGATGATAATTGCCCGTGCACGCTCCCCGGTGGTTGCGGCGTACCTTCACCACTAGTACATTCGCTGTTAGTCCTATCTGCATTGTGGACAGTCTCCTCTTGTACAGCAGCAGTCTCTCCATAGCCCATCTCTGTCAAACCACCGATCAGCACAGGAGAGCCATCTCTCAGCGTACCCACATCTTCTGGCCGTGCAAAGGAGAACTCTGTGTCCGATATTTGCGGTAGGCGTTTCTTCACGTGTGTGCGCCGTTCCTTGAAGTCCTTCCTCGGACCGAGCAAGGCCCCATGCTGGACCGTCTTCACTAACGTGTGGCCATGTGCATCCTGCAGGTCGCATTTGAGAAGTACCTTTGTGTTCCTGTTTTTAGGTTTGTCTGGTTCTGTAATGTTTGGCTTATGTTGGGTGTTGTGAAGTGCTTTGGTATCTGCTGGGGTCGACTTCGGAGATTCATGCTCATCTGGGCTCAGTAGCTGTGCGGACGAAAGTGCGCTGGCGAACCTCCCGTTGCTAGGCAACAGCGTGGCCTGTTCACGCGTTAGCGCAGTGGACATATCTGAATTCTCGATATTGTTGATATGGCTAATAGTAGCTACGAATGTGCACATGTCCATGGACACTGGATGCGACGGTGTGAGCTTTGTCAACGCATGCCATTTGGAATTCGGGTCGACATAGTTGTCGAATTCCGAATTTATAATGCTTGTGTACAGCCCACTAGCGTCATGCACATTAGTGTGTTTGGCAAAGTTTTGATTACTTTGTATTCTGTCGCGTAGGCCCACGCCACCAGAAGCCGAGGAGTAGAAGCGATTTGACGGTGTGCTTCGTAATGTGATGCAAAGGTGTTTACGGAGATTCAATAGTTTGAGCATACTTGTACATGCAAGATGTGTGATTAAAACACTACCTGATATCGAATCTCTTTTAATAAGACATATCTGTTACGATTGTGGAATACCAGACAGGTAGCAATGATATCGAAAGTACTGATAAAAAGCCAGTGCTCGAGCGTCCCTGATGGATTAAACCGCTCAACTGTGGATGGTTACCGTTCAACTACGAATAATGATGCAGACAATTAACATAGAAACTGCCTCGTTAGATCAGATATAACCCTACTACTGCTTGATAGGGGTTTACTTACCAACCAATATATATACACGTCCATAACACTAAGTAAGTAAATTTCAAGATATAGACATATATGTAAATAAATGAAGCTTGTGCTTCGATGTAAATATTTTAAAATATTCATAGCTTTCTAATTAGACAAAATATTAGTAAAAGGGAACTTCATCATTCATCTTGACTTCCATCTCGGCGACTCTATAATTCAATTGGTCAAGAGATACCGGCAGTTTATTTATCCACTGCGCAGTGGCCGTCTGTAAGCAAAAACTGCAGCTTTCATCAGTGCATCATATATATAAATAAGGGACTATTGAGTATGGTATTTACATATACATTATTATATATTAATACTATTTTGCTAATTTTGTTAAAATCAGTTCTTCCACTAGTAGTGTAATTAGTTGGGTGTGATTATTAGCAGTCATTTTTTGCCTAATAAAGTCGCTTTCCAACTCAGAAGTTTGCGCGTTGCATTGCATATCCGTATGATATCTAGCGATGAAGAATTTATCGAATGCCATCACGAACTCAGTCTCGTATGTGGAACAAAGTTGGCGTCTCTTCATTTAATAGAGACCGTGGGAGCAGGCGAAATTTAATTTGCAATATACATCCAGTTGTATCGGCG